GGCCATGTAGGGCTTTAAAGGTAACGACCAGCACTTTGAAGCGAATCCGGTATGCTATAGGCAGCCAGTGCAGCGCTTTCAGCACAGGCTGGATGTGGTCCCATTTCGAGACACCCGCAACCAGCCTGGCCGCCGCATTCTGCACTAGCTGCAGCCTCCGAATCAGCGACAAAGGCATTTGTACATTATAAGTGCAAATGTGCTTATATTTTTTCTGATTCGAATTAAAAGTGCTTTAGAGTAAGGCTAAGTTTGGTTAATGTTTTCAGATTGTCTAATATTTTTCACAGTATTGTTTAGGTCTAATGTGTTTTCTGTACTTAATCCTGCAGTGAAGCCTGCTAACAGTGTGAAATGAAGATTTAATTATTTGTGATTGTAAGCCTGCAGGGATGGCCTGTTCCTTCATTTTCTGTTTGAGTGCCCAGAAGTAACATCATTTAATATTTCTCTCAGTGTGTGTCAGTCCGACTTTGCCAAATGCATAGTTTATAAGTTTGTATAGCCCCGGTTTGCTATTAATGAACTGCAGTAAGATCCCAGTTTTATCTTACACATGACTTCAGCTATGTTCAGTCTTTAAATCATTAATTTACTCCATTCATAACCTGCCTTTCTCTCCAGTGGGGACCCACAGTGGCTTACATCATTCCAGTGCAGACTCTTATCTGGGAGAACCAGGTTTCATTCCCCACTCCTCCTCTCGCAGCTGCTGGATGACCTTGGGCAAGCCATAGTTCTGTCAGAGGTGTTCTTGAAAAAGAGCAGTTTCTGTCAGAGCTCTCTCAGCACCACCTACCTCACAGGATGGCTGTTATGGGGAGGGGAGGGGAAAGGAGTTTGTAAGATGCTCTGAGACTCCCAAGTGAAGGGCAGGGTATAAATCCAATCTCTTCTTCCTTTTCCTCCTTCACTTGGCCCCAGAAGCTTGTCTACTCCTGAACTAGGCTTCATCCAGCAATGGGTGTGCATATTCATGAAAGTGTGTGTAGGATGGAGAACTGGGAACCTTTAGCACACTCAACTTCTGTGCTTTAGAACGTGAGCTCAGTTTCAGAAAGTTCCTACAATGAAAAGCTGTTTCCAAGATTTGCCTCTTTATTCTGCTGGCTGCAGCCACTTGATCCATTTTCAGCAGCAGGTGAGGGGACATCCTTTGCGTCTTGTAATTTAGTTCCGACTTTGCGATCTGGAGTTGGACTCGACTGTGCAACTGAACAACAACAATTTAGTTACTTCTGTGATGATTGTTAGGGTGTTAGGCTGTTATACTGATCTGTCAGACTCCACCCCCAATCCCAATCCAGAGCTGGCAACCCTAGCTGTGACATATTGAAATAAATGTTGTTAGCCGTTAGCAGGTTTTTATAAAGTTAATAAATATCAAATCAGCTTCTGCAGTGTGAGATCGCTTTCCTAGCAATTTAAAGGGGTGGGAGGCGATGCTCCTTCTCAATAGCCTTTGGTAGAGGTCCAAGAGCAACCTAGCATCGCCGCGGCCTTGTCGCGGATTACCCTTTGGGGTAATTGATCATTTCCCTTTTGTTCCCAGATTCAGCAGGTGGCTGCGAGCGTCTCGCTTTTGTTGTATGCACAGTTTATATGTGACACTGTTATGCACTCAGCACTCTTGTCTGCTTTAGTAGACTCGTTTAGCTGTAGGAGGTACATTTTTGCCTGTGAAAATCCAACCCACAGGTTCGGGCCCAATCAGAATGGTGTGACGGATATATGACAAAGTTTGATGGAACCAATAATTCCGATTTATTTGTAAAGCGTCATAGTGGGTTTAAAACCCTATGTCTCCTATTGTAACCTTAGGGAGGGCTGTGGGTATTCAGGGATTCAAAACCTTGTTGTACCTCTTATTTTCCGTCCTTTATTAATAAAGTTTTTAGCCTGGATTCTACTCTACAGGACTGTGCCGAGTGCTTTCTCAAATTGGGCTGGGGAAGCACAACCCGTGTGGGAGTTTCTATCTTACACTTTCAAGCTCGATGGGGTACAGAGGCAAAAGCGCCGTTTAATGTTACTCTTGTAGCCCTTGCAGGCGCGGTAATTTGGGTTTTTTTGCCTGAGCCAAAGATTAAGCGCCCTGTTGAGACCCTTTGTCTCTTTTCTACATACTTGCTCCCCCCTCGTCACTTTTCAGCGCGCTTCAGACGACCTGGAGACGAGTCTGTCTTGTATCTGTGGAAGTGTGCATGCACACGAAAGCTTATACCCAGAATTAAACTTTGTTGGTCTTAAAGGTGCCAACTGAACTCAAACTTTGTTGTATCGTGTCACAAATGGTTGGGAAATAAAACAGGGCGGGGGAGAGTCTCTTGCAGGGATGCGGTGGGCGATGGAAGTGCAAAGCGTCATAGTGGGTTTAAAACCCTGTCTCCTATTGTAACCATAGGGAGAGCTGTGGGTATTCAGGGATTCAAAACCTTACTGTACCTCTATTTTCTGTCCTTTATTAATAAAGTTTTTAGCCTGGATTCTACTCTACAGGAGTGTGCCGAGTGCTTTCTCAAATTGGGCTGGGGAAGCACAACCCGTGTGGGAGTTTCTATCTTACACTTTCAAGCTCGATGGGGTACAGAGGCAAAAGCGCCGTTTAATGTTACTCTTGTAGCCCTTGCAGGCGCGGTAATTTGGGTTTTTTTGCCTGAGCCAAAGATTAAGCGCCCTGTTGAGACCCTTTGTCTCTTTTCTACATACTTGCTCCCCCCTCGTCACTTTTCAGCGCGCTTCAGACGACCTGGAGACGAGGCTGTCTTGTATCTGTGGAAGTGTGCATGCACACGAAAGCTTATACCCAGAATTAAACTTTGTTGGTCTTAAAGGTGCCAACTGAACTCAAACTTTGTTGTATCGTGTCACAAATGGTTGGGAAATAAAACAGGGCGGGGGAGAGTCTCTTGCAGGGATGCGGTGGGCGATGGAAGCAATGAGAGCTAGTGAGGGAAGCAGCTCTGGGGCTTTGAACAAAACTCTAGGGTAGAGGCAACGAGGGAGGAAGCTGTGTATAACGGCAACAGCACACACTGGTGCGAGCAGAGACGGCGTCGGCGATTTTTCTGTATCGCTTTCCAAGGGCTCCAAGCCCTTCGTATACTGAGCCAATAATGAAAACAGCTCCACGAGGCTGGGCATGAAGGGGAGGGAGGTCAGTGCATATACCTGCGGAGGGGGAAATTTCAAGCACACAAAATGAAACGCTCCCCCGACCCTCATATGGGGGGGGGGGGGAAAACGCCCAAAATCAAAATGACACGCTCCCCCGGACCCTCATATGGGGGGGGGGGGAATCGCCCAAACAGTTTTAATGGACTGCGCATGTGCACGCTCCAGAGGTTACTATAGAAACCGGCCGCGGCATACCAGCAGCTTCTTCCGCTCCGTTGTTGCCCATGTTGAGAGCGGCTCCGTGGAAGTGTCTCTGAGCGGGTCGCCAGGTCGGCATCCAGTGGGGCTTCAGGAGCCGGCAGCTCCACAGACTCAGTGCAGGAGGAGAAAGGGGAGCCCGCGCTGCTACCCCAAGTCTCACTGAGCGAGCAAAGGTGAGGCCCGATAGCTCCACCGTTTCTAACTCTCTCAAATCAGATTTGTCCCGGACTTCCTCTTTACCACTCTTTTGTCAGTCTTTTAAGTTCTGATGCTCTTTTCTTTTTCAAAAATCTACTCCTTCCGCTACCTTTAAAGCACACCAGCACACACCGCC